CCAAAAATAATTAAATATAATAATTTATTTTTTTCTAAAAAAAAATCAATAATTATAAAAAAAATATTTTATAAATTATTATTTTTTCCTTAATTTTTAATTTATTAATAATTATTTAATATATCATATTTTATTTTCGTTCGAATATATTTTCGCTTTAAATTCGGGAAAAAAAATATAAATAAATAATCAATCTACAAGTATCCCCCCAACAGTGTATGTAAGCTAATGGAATCTTCGGAGAAGGTTCCGAGACGTTGGAAGATTTTGGTGCTGAGGCAGGTCAGGTTCAATAGTGTTCCGAAGAAGGTTCCGGAAAAGGTTTGGGAGGTTCAGGTCAGTTTCAACAGGATTTGCGGCCCATTTTGGAAGATTTTGGTGCTGAGGCAGGTCAGGTTCAATAGTGTTCCGAAGAAGGTTCCGGAAAAGGTTTGGGAGGTTCAGGTCAGTTTCAACAGGATTTGCGGCCCATTTAAGACACAAAATCCAGCCAAGATTTTTCCAGCGCTTAGCTTCGCAGCACGCTTCAAAAAAAACTATACTAGACGACGGATGGCCCGAGAGCGTAGAGGAGCAGAGTCTTCTATTGTTAATATGCGACACTATATTACAAGACAATATATTAAACATGTATTATAGGCAGACGAGAAGAGTAGTATCCAGACACTATATTACAAGTACAAGACAATAGCTTGCATCATATCTTTCGTAAACTTTTTCACACACAGAATTTTTTACAGACAGACGCTTTTGCACACAGAGACTTTCACACACAGAGGCTTTTACACACAGAGGCTATTTTACACACAGACGCTTTTACACACAGATGCTTTTACACACAGAGACTTTTACACACAAACGCTTTTACACACAGACGCATTTACACACAGACGCTTTTACACACAGAGACTTTTACACACAGACGCTTTTACACACAGAAGCTTTTACACACAGACGCTTTTACACACAAACACTTTTACACAGAGAGACTTTTACACAGACCCTTTTACACACAGAAGCTTTCACACACAGACGCTTTTACACACATACGCTTTTACACACATACGCTTTTACACACATACGCTTTTACACTCAGAAACTTTTACACACAGACGCTTTTACACACAAACACTTTTACACACAGAGACTTTTACACACAGAGACTTTTACACACAGATGCTTTTACACACAAACACTTTTACACACAGACCCTTTTACACACAGACGCTTTTACACACAAACGCTTTTACACACAGAAGCTTTTACACACAGAAGCTTTTACACGCAGACGCTTTTACACACAGAAGCTTTTACACACTTCGCCGGACAACTTGGAAATCTGAATTTTACCTCAGTTTTTGGCGATCCAACCTCATTTCGTGCGAAAGGGTTGCGCGGGACGACTTCAAATCGCAATTTTACCTCCGTTTTTGGCAATCGAACCTCATTTCGAGCGAAAAAGTTCGCTGGACAAGAGAAATCGCAATTTTACCTCAGTTTTTGGCGATCGAACCTCATTTCGTGCGAAAAGGTTGCGATTGGACAAGAGGAATCGCAATTTTACTGCAGTTTTTGACGATCGAACTTCATTTCGTGCAAAAGGGTTGCGCGCGACGACTTCAAATCGTAATTTTACCTCAGTTTTTGGCGATCGAACCTCATTTCGTGCGAAAGGGTTGCGTTTCGTGCCGTCTCGTTGGCACTGCCCCTGCCCCCCGCCTTCAAGAGAGAAATAGAAAAGAAGGAGAGGGCAAGAGGGCAAGAGGACAAGAGGAGAAGATGTGAGGATGTGAGGATATGAAGATGAGAAGATGTGAGGATGAGAAGATGTGAAGATGAGCAGATGTGAAGATGTGAAGATAAGAAGATGTGAAGATGAGAGGATGTAAGAGAAGAAGATGCGAAGATGAGCAGATGTAAAGATGAGAAGATGTGAAGATGAGAAGATGTAAAGATGAGAAGATGTGAAGATGTGAAGATAAGAAGATGAGAGGAGGTAAGATAAGAAGATGTGAAGATGAGAAGATGTGAAGATGTGAAGATAAGAAGATGTGAAGATGAGAGGATGTAAGATAAGAAGATGTGAAGATGAGCAGATGTAAAGATGAGAAGATGTGAAGATGATAAGACGTAAAGATGAGAAGATGTGAAGATACGAAGATGTGAAGATGAGAAGCTGTGAAGATGAGAGGAGGTAAGATAAGAAGATGTGAAGATGAGAAGATGTGAAGATAAGAAGGTGTGAAGATGATAGGATGTAAGATAAGAAGATGTGACGATGTGAAGATGAGAAGATGTAAAGATGGGAAGATGTGAAGATGAGAAGATGTAAAGATGAGAAGATGTAAAGATGAGAAGATGTAAAGATGAGAAGATGTGAAGATAAGAAGGTTTGAAGATGATAGGATGTAAGATTAGAAGATGTGAAGATGAGAAGATGTAAAGATGAGAAGATGTGAAGATGAGAAGATGTAAAGATGACAAGATGTGAAGATGAGAAGATGTGAAGATGAGAAGATGTGAGGATAAGAAGATGTGAAGATGAGAAGATGTGAAGATGAGAAGATGTTTTACAGACCCCCACTATTGGAAGAACCCTGCGCTCAGACGCTGCCGGGAAAAAATAAAATGTTGCGGCTGTTGGGGATACCACTGAAGCTTTATATTTTCATTATTTGTAAATAAAATATTTTTAAATATTTTTTAGTTTAAAATATTTCCAATATTTTTCCCTATGTATGTTTATTCCCCCAAATCTTTGTGTGGGGTTCTTATTTTTATTTCTGTATCCCGCCGCCTGACAAAGATGTTTCGTAAAATGGTGAAAGATGGTGTGTGACAAAGATGTGTGTGAAAGATGCTGGGTAAGATGGTGTGTGACAAAGATATGTGTGAAAGATGGTGTGTGACAAAATTGTGTGTGAAAGATGGCGTGTGACAAAGCTGTGTCTGAAAGATGGTGTGTGACCAAGTTGTGTGTGAAAGATCGTGTATGAAAAGATGGGTGCGAAAGATGGTATGTGACCAAGTTGTGTGTGTAGGATGGTGTGTGTGTGTAAAATGGTATGAGACAAAGATGTGTGTGGCATACACCATCTCTCACACACATCTTTCACACACCTCTTTGATAAACACAATCTTTCACACACCATCTTCGACACCACATCTTTGACACACACCATCTTTCACACACCATCACAGACCATCTTTCACACACCACATCTTTGTCACACACACAACTTTGTCACACACCACTTTGTCACACACCATCTTCAACACAATCACATGTGGCACTTGGTGACATGCACCTTCGCTTTGCGTGGCAGGCGTGGCACTTGGAGACATCTACCTGCATTTGGCATGGCAGGGGGGCACTTTGTGACATGCACCTTCATTTTGCGTGGCAGGCGTGGCGCTTGGAGACATCTACCTGCATTTGGGGTAACAGGCGTGCCACTTGGAGACATCTACCTGCGTTTGGCGTGGCAGGCGTGGCTCTTGTTCCACTTGGTGGCCCGCTTGGTCGCCGTTGGTCGCCGTTGGTTTCTGTTGGTCGCCTGGGGCGCGGCGCCACTTTGCGTGGCAGGCGTGGTACTTGGAGACATCTACCTTCGTTTCACGTGGCTGGCGTGGCACTTGGAGACATCTACCTGCGTTTGGCGGTCACTTGGCGACATCTACCCGCGTTTGGCGTAGCAGGCTCCGCGCCACTTTGCGTGGCAGGCGTGGCACTTGGAGACATCTACCTTCGTTTCACGTGGCAGGCGTGGCGCTTGGAGACATCTACTTGCGTTTGCCGTGGCAGGCGTGGCGCTTGGAGACATCTATCTGCCTTTGGCGTTGCAGGCGTGGCACTTGGAAACATCTACCTTGGCGTGGCAGGCGTGGCACTTGTTGCACTTGGTGGCGCGCTTGGTCGCCGTTGGTTACCTGGGGCGCCGCGCCACTTTGCGTGGCAGGCATAGCACTTGGAGGCATCTACCTTCGTTTCGGGTGGCTGGCGTGGCACTCAGAGATCGGCAACAGATCTGTGTTGCGGTCACAATTGTTGAGAATCCAGGTTCGGTGGAAGGCCAGACAAAAGATAGTGATGTATTTGTGTGCAATGCTATAGTGCAGCAAGGAGCAACGCGAGTGAGATGTTCTTTTTGGCATGAGCAAGTTGAAGAATTGGCAGCGCAGCCACCTGGAACGAGTCTGATGCTTTACCAGGTTTTGATCAGCAAGCGCAAGGACGGGCAGCTGGCGAGGCAGGCGATGTGTCTTGGCTGTATGATACTTCACAGATGTTGGTTGCTTCCTTTATCATAGTCTTTGCTTAACCAACCTTGCTGCAGGCAGGCAGAAATGGCCGACAAAGACAATTGCCGCATGTTGACGGGGATTCCTGTGAAGGATTGGATTGGTTGCCCTGCCACCGTCTCATCCTTGAGTGCTCTGGTGGGTGCCATCGTGCCTGGACAATTGCGGAAATTGGAGACGGTTTTTGAAGTCGTAGGTTTGCAGGTTTTGGGTATTTCGTCCGTGAAGACGGATGCGGATGTGTGGCTCATTGATTCCTGTGTGAAATGCAAAAAGGCAGCACCGTGCGAGGCAGAGCATCCAACCTTTGTGATGTTTTTCTTCGTTGCTTTTTTAAAGATTTTTTTGATACTTCCCAAGATCGACGCTCTCCTTCCTGTGAGGCTCATTCAACGGACGGCACCGAGAAGCGCTTCGCTCTGAGGCTCACACTCGCAGATTGCAACTGCAAGTGCGCCGTGTTGCTCTACCACGAATTGGTGCTGCAACCGGCGGCCAGCATGGATTGCGTGCTATCCGACTCGGTGCACGACACTCCGGCAGTGCGCCTGCAGCTGCGCGACTTGTTCGGGGGGGCACAGTGGCTTTGCAGATTCACTTTCCGTGAAAATGATTATCAGATTATCAGCAAACTCTGGAGTTGGAGTGCCGTCATCTGCAGCCGTGTTGGCGGGCCAGCGGAGCGAGCGCTGTCGTCAAGCCTGGCGCGCTGCAGCGGAAAGACCCGCACTGCCAGTTGAACACTGGCTGTCCCGTGGCACCTTTGAACATGCTGCAGGTCGATGTCCAGTTGGGATTGATTTGTGTTGAAGTGGAAGCTAGTTTCGTGCGAGCCCTGGTGGCCTTCAATGACGTGCAGCTGGCCGATGATGAAGCTCTCCAGCAAGACAACACAACCATCTCGGCGATGCGGGTGAAGAGATTTGTGGATTGCCTGCTGTCTGGTGCGGGCGAGACAAGCGCGCCGCACCAGGCAAAGCTGCGGAGCGCTGGTCCCGCTTCGGCGGTCAATTGGATGTTGCGAGGCCGTGCGGGCGAAGCGCACTTGGTCGTCTTGGCCCACACCGAGGCAGATGGCGAATGGAGCGTGCTCTGGCACGTGCCGGTCGATGCACACCCTGTGGCAGAAGCCGCGCGGATTCTGATGCAGTCGTACCAGTCAGAGGTGAGTGCCCCACAGACGACCAGGCATGGACACCAATGAAACGACTCGCCAGCGTCGTCGAGCAGGCGCCGCCGGAAGAGACAACGATGGCGGAGGCGGCGCCTCAGTGTGTAGTCCTGCACTATACTGCGTAGCTAGATTGAAGTCTTTGCTCACTAGCTGCACTCATTGTTGACTCAATGTGGGAAGACATGAGTGAAGGCAGCCAGCGAATCTTTTGTCAGCTGCCCGACTCATGGTTGACTCAATGTGGGAAAACTTGAGTGGCAGCAGCCAACTAATCTTTTGTCAGCTGCTGGACTCATGGTTGACTCAATGTGGGAAAACTGGAGTCGCGACGGCCAATTCATAAAAGCTCGTGACATGTGTCAAGTTTGCCCCACTGTGGGAAGAAATGCTACGGGCCATGTCAAGATTTTGATCACTCGGACAGTCTAAAAAACGTCCATGGATGTCTTTGCTGTGTGGTCACGTCTGTAAGTGACGTTCTTGATGTCCTGTGACGGCATCTTTATCATTCAGATTGTGATCTATTCTTCTCGTACGATGAACATCTGCGGAATCGAACATGTTCACAATGCTTCGTCACTTGGTCATCTATATCTCTGTTGTAGTCACTTTTGGCCCTACGTGGCAACAAGCGTTGGAAAAGAAATTGAACATCTGCACACTGCGATACAAACAGACAGGGTTCCTTCCATTATAGTCAATACTGTGCCAGTTGAGAAACGACACGCTTGGTCACCTTTCTGGTCTGGTCGCTTCAACATATAAATTTCCTGGAGCCATGTTCTTTGCGCCTGCTGCCGGTGGCCTTGTGAATTTGGAATCGGGCGGTTTGATAGCATGTGAATGTTGGATTGTATGTCTTTGCATCTTGCAAAGTCCTACAAGCCTATACTGCTGTGCTTAGAAAGCCAAATATACTTGGTGCCGCTGTGTCCGTTGATGCTGGATGTTTTATATTTTTCCAGGGCGCGTTTGCATGTCGTAAATTTTTCCGCAGGCCTCAAACAGACTCATTCCCTAATCTGATATCTATATTTGCGCATTAAGCGCACTTGTCGTCAGCCCATGGAATGGCAACAGTTGCATGACCTCGGCGCAGCATCAGGTCTGGTCTCTGATTGAAACCTTAGAAGCTGCTCGACGCAGATTGGATGTTGATCAGACCGAACTACGATCCATTTCTCCTCGTACTACAGTAGCTGTGCAGACCTACGATCGAGCGACGCTTCAGCGTGTGGACGCTTGCATTGATATCTTGAAGAACCTGCATACGGAACTCTGGCGCATGAATAATCCTCCTTTGGAACTCCTACACCAATGCACCACTTGAGATGGCGGTCAGCAATGCAACACTGGAGATCCTGGTACACTTCATCCCACCAATTGAATCGACGCGTCTCGATTTTGACCCAGTGTGGGAAGAAATCGGATGCCAAGCAGATGACATTAGAGCGCTGGCAAAAAAAAGGTGCGCAGTGGTTCCGTATGTCAGTGCCTAGCTTGAAATCAGTTCATGTTTTGTGCCGTTTTACATTTTCTTATCCAGCAATGAACTTGTCGCTTTGTGTAGTCCCAGTTGTCCAGTAATTGCGGGCCAGGTTTGGTTACGTGAATGTTGTGCCATGATTTACACGGCAATTGAGACGTCAATGTCTGTGGATGCTTTCGGTTTGCTTATGGAAATTTGCCAGGTGATCAAACGTCATTGCTCTTTGGGCAAGGTGGGAGTTCGCATTGTTGGTTGGTGTTTGTTCGCAGATGAGGGAATGCACCACAAACTGTACCGGCACGTTTGAAGTCTGATAATGCGCAAAGATCAAAAAGCGATGATGTCTTTGCTGTGCAGTCATATGAGGAAACTTTGTGCAAACGATGCTTGCATGTTTCGGCATGTTTCTTTGCATGACCACTTTCTTGCATGTCGCTGGCATTGCTGCCAGGCACCTGCTGGATGAGGGTGGCATCGTTCTTATGACGGTGACCGACATTCCTTGAGGGCGAGATATATTTCTGTTTGATTGTTTGAAATGTGATTGTACATGTCCTTGACTATGGTGCATCAATTGATTTCACGCACTGTGTGAAGAAATGTTGATGCCGTGAAAAAGAGTTTGTGTGTTTCTGAGTGTGGTACAACAAATGGTTTGACACAATGTGTGAAGAATCATTTGTTGCCGTGAGAAAATATCTTCGCCAGCAAGGAGTGCGCAGTAGCTTCGGCCGTGCGATGTTGTCAAGTCTTTTCTGCTTGGAGATAATGTTGAAACGTGCGACGTTTCATTTCTATTGTTATGTTAAGATTTTTGGTGACGTTGGAGACTTGGCAATGCTTGTGACATTCGCGTGAGACACTTGCGTGTGGAGATTGCTGTAGAGCCGATTGCTTCGGGCAAAAGGGCCCATGATGTGTCTCACTCGCCTTCTTCGAGTTCCACCACGCTCTGATGGATTGTTTTCCCGACGTTGCTTCCCCAAAGATCTTTTATGGCAGAGCCCTCTATCAAAGCAATGGTGTGCTCTCCATACACCACTTTGTCGCACACCATCTTTCACCACACCATCTTTCACACAACTTTGTCACACACCGTTTTTCACGACACCATCTTTGACACACCACTTTGTCACACACCATCTTTCGCCACACCATCTTTCACACACCGCTTTGGCATACACCAGCTTTCACACACAAATTTGTCATACACAACATCTCTCTTTGTCACACAACATCTTTCATATACGACTTTGTCACACACATTTTTTTCCCGAGAGCGTCTGAGCGCAGGGTTCTTCCAATAGTGGGGGTCTGTAAAACATCTTCTAATCTTCACATATCTTCACATCCTCACATCTTCACATCCTCACATCTTCACATCTTCTCATCTTCACGTATCTTATCATATCTTCACATCTTCACATCCTCTCATCTTCACATCCTCGCATCTTCACATCCTCTCATCTTCACATCCTCACATCTTCACAGCTGCTCATCTTCCCATCCTCACATCTTCACATCTTCTCATTGTCACATCCTCACATCTTCACATCCTCTCATCTTCACATCCTCGCATCTTCACATCCTCTCATCTTCACATCCTCACATCTTCACATCTTCTCATCTTCACATCTGCTGACTTCACATCCTCACATCTTCACATCTTCTCCTCTTGTCCTCTTGCCCTCGCCTTCTTTTCTATTTCTCTCTTGAAGGCGGGGGCAGGGGCAGTGCCAACGAGACGGCACGAAACACGAAATGAGGTTCGATCGCCAAAAACTACGGTAAAATTGCGATTTCAACTTGTCCGGCGCAACCCTTTCGCACGAAATGAAGTTCGATCGCCAAAAACTGAGGTGAAATTGCGACTTGCAAGTCGTCCGGCGCAACCCTTTCGCACGAAACGAGGTTCGATCGCCAAAAACTGAAGTGAAATTGCGACTTGTAAGGGTCCAATCGCAACCCTTTCGCACGAAACGAGGTTCGATCGCCAAAAACTGCGGTAAAATTGCAATTTCTCTTGTCCAATCGCGACTCTTTCGCATGAAATGAGGTTCGATCGCCAAAAACTGAGGTAAAATTGCGACTTGCAAGGGTCCAATCGCAACCCTTTCGCACGAAACGAGGTTCGATCGCCAAAAACTGAGGTGAAATTGCAATTTCTCTTGTCCAATCGCGACTCTTTCGCATGAAATGAGGTTCGATCGCCAAAAACTGAGGTAAAATTGCGATTTCCTGTGTGTAAAAGCGTCTGTGTGTAAAAGCGTCTGTGTGTAAAAGTGTTAGTGTGTAAAAGCTTTTGTGTGTAAAAGCGTCTATGTGTAAAAGCTTTTGTGTGCAAAAGTGTCTGTGTGTAAAAGCGTCTGTGTGTAAAAGCGTCTGTGTGTAAAAGCGTCTGTGTGTAAAAGCGCCTGTGTGTAAAAGCGTCTGTGTGTAAAAGCGTCTGTGCGTAAAAGCTTCTTTGTGTAAAAGCGTCTGTGTGTAAAAGCTTCTTTGTGTAAAAGGGTCTGTGTGTAAAAGCTTCTGTGTGTAAAAGTCTCTGTGTGTAAAAGCTTCTGTGTGTAAAAGCGTCTGTGTGTAAAAGGGTCTGTGTTTAAAAGCTTTTGTGTGCAAAAGCGTCTGTGTAAAAGCTTCTGTGTTTAAAAGCGTCTGTGTGTAAAACTGTCTGTGTAAAAGCACCTGTGTGTAAAAGTGTTTGTGTGTAAAAGTGCCTGTGTGTAAAAGCGTCTGTGTGTAAAAGTGTCTGCGTGTAAAAATGTCTTTTCCACAAAATGTCCATTAAAAGCGTCTCTCTGTAAAAAGTTCTGTGTGTGAAAAGCTATTTGAAAGATACGATGCAAACTATTGTCTTGTACTTGTGCTATATTGTCTTGATACTCCTCTTCTCGTCTGCCTATAACACATCTTTAATATATTGTTTTGTAATATGGTGTCTCCATCCTAACAAGAGAAGACCCTGCTCCTCTACGCTCTCGGGCCATCCGTCGTCTAGTTTTAACTTGTCGATCCTCCACCACCTCCTTTGTCTTTCCTTCCTTCCCCGTCCCCCCTACAACATTTGTGGCTCATTATTGGAAGAAGTTGACTTGTGGGGTTATCCGGTCCTTTACTTTTTTTTTTGGGGGCGATATTTTCCTATATTTCTGGTTTAAATTTCTGTTATAACGTTTTTTCATGTCACTTCTAATTTGAACTTTTGTTCCGCTAGTTTCTCGCGCCACTTCTGGTTTGATTTCCTTTACGATCCTTTTTTAGGTATTTTTTTGCGCTGCTTTTTTGTGGTACTTCTAGTCAGAACTTTTTGTGTGATCCTTTCTTGCGACATTTCTGGTCTGAACTTTTATCGCGATATTTTCTCGCGACGTTTAATTTGAATTTCCTTTGTGAGAATTTCTTGCGAGATTTATGGTCTAAACTTCTGTTGTGACGTTTTTTTGCGACATCTTCTTGTAACAGTTGTACTCTGAACTTTCAGCGCCCTTCCTTGCGACACTTCTGAACTAAATTTCTCTTGCGACGCTTTCTCGTGATACTTTCTTGCGACACTTCTGGTCTGAACTTTTGTTGCGGCACTTTTTTGCGACACTTCTGGTCAGAATTTTTGTTGCAACACTTTCTCCCAACACTTCTGGTCTGAACTTTTGTTGCGACACTTTCTTGCGACACTTCTGGTCTGAATTTTTGTTGCGACACTTTCTCGCAACACTTCTGGTCTGAAGCGACACTTTCTTGCGACACTTCTGGTCTGAACTCTTGTTGCGACGCTTTCTTGCGACACTCCTGGTCAGAACTCTTGCGACACTTTCTTGTGACACTTATAGTCGGAACTTTGTTGCACTACTTTCTTGTGACACTTCTGATCAGAACTTTTGTGCGACACTTTCTTGCGACGCTTGCGGTCTGAACTTCTTCTGCGACAGTTTCAAATATGAAGCTCCAAGTCAAATCTCGAGAACTGATGATGCTCTCACCAAGGAGAGTGGCAGGCGTAGCATCTCACCGGCTAAGGACACGAGCACCTCTCCAGGTGAGCTCCCATCTGCCTTCCACGAGTCTGGTTGAAGATCAGTTTTGCTTTAGAAATTTCATGAGTTGGGAGATGTTGGGATCCCACAGCTAACTGGAGCATCGTAAAATTGAATCCGAGTCACATCCTCGACCAAACTCACGTGAAATCCATCCACCTTGTCCTCAGTACGGCTCCCGCATCCCCTTAGCAGGCCCTAGCAATCTTGCGGGGTTCGCCTAGCTCAACCAAATGAAAACTAGAAATCAACCAACCTTCTTGAAATAAACTACACAAGATATCCTGACAGGGTAAGACAAGTCTCTTCTTCAACGCGTGCACTCACCCACCCGTCTTGGCCTCTATAGACTTCGCATGTTTGCCCTTTCGAGAAGCGTCGTCTGATGCAATGAAATGGAACTTGCAGCTCATCCGACTCCGGTACGTCAAGGGTCGCAGCCTCCACGGCTACTTGAGCAACCTGAAGGAAGAAAAAGGAAGCCATGAAACCAGCCTCCACGGCTACTTGAGCAACCTGAAGGAAGAAAAAGGAAGCCATGAAACGAGCTGGGAACCATTTGCCTCTGATCTGTACAACAATTTTCTCCCCAACGTGTGGAGCTGGCCGTAGCAAATTCAGCGGAACTTGACAACGAAGCTGCTGATGTCGCCCAACTCGACAATCGTACGCTGGCCACGTATCGCCATCTTCACAACCTTACACATGTGCTTTGACAAGTGTTCATATTTCACGTGGGCGTAGGTCCGAATCAAGCTCCTACCATATGGCTGGGAGGATGAACATCCATCTCAAGTTTGATGTTCTCAGGTTTGATGTTCAACCAGGCTTTTGACCCATACAAGCCCTTACCCATGTCATGTCTATTTCATGTCTGAATCGTATTTAACATCTATGGCACTCTTTTTCACCAAGCCACTGCAGAAGGTCCCCTTGCCCACAATGACAGCTGAAGCGCACTGCTGCAATGACTGTGACCAATACAACACCATTTCACCGTCTCTATATGCTTCTGGGGCTATGGGTGGTAGAAGATCATCGACATTGCACACCACCATAGAATCCTCCCGATCCATTGGAACAGAAGCATCGATACCGAAGGAACTCTCGCTTTGTTCAGATCTAGCGCTACGATCGAAGGATCGTTCGGGCGATCTGGGCGTTATGGGCGATCTGGGCGATTCTTCGAAGGAAGCGCTCTTCAAGCTCTTCACGCGAATCACTTCCCGGCCCTTGGTACTCAACTCAGTAGAGACGTGCCGCAGCTTCAAGTTGTCCAAATCCTCAGCTGCGCTACGCCGCGATGCTTGGGGCTGCTTGGTCCTGATGTAAACCCAAATCCTCAAATCAGCCTGGCACACATTCCATATCCCCGACATGACAGGGCATACCCGCCGCGAAAAAGATCACTGTAAACGAAAACTACAGCTACAAGCATTGCCTAGCCATGTTAACCCCTGTGGCAAGAATCAGGTAGCACATCCGGCGTCACGTCCCATTTCACCAGCACCTTGCCATCAGTTCCGCCACCCTCCTTCAGGGCTGTGAACGGCATTGGAAGGCCAAGCCCGGGAAACTCTGAATAAAACCTGACGGATCGGATAACAACCGATCACATTCATCTTCTCTAAAAATTTACGGAGATATAGATGTTTCTTTGAGAAAGGTGGCCAGCGAAGTGAAAAAACAAGTCAATGCCAGCCTCGACAAATCTGCAAGGTAGAGTAAAATTGAAGCAACTATAAGCACCGATGGGAAAAGATTCTCTACCAACAATCCTGCCATATTGATGTCTCATCCCGGTAGCTTTCACCTTGTCTCAACCTAAGCCATGGGTTGGAAAATGGGAACCTCCACAATGCAGGACAACCCTAGAATCAGCGTCATTCAACATATATGTTGAACTACCGGTAATACCGCACAAGGCAGTGGCGGAAGTGTCCAAGAAAGGAAACTATAGGAAAGGTTGATTTCTGTGAGTGTGGATGATGGAATGACAAGCGGTTGGAGTGCCGATGTTTGTATCTGTCTTTCTATCTATCGATCTGTCTAGGTAGCTGTCTGGCTATCTGTCTGTCTATCGATCTTTCTATCTATCTATCTCGCCCTCTGTCTTTCTATCTATCTTTCTGCCTATCAATTTATCTATCTAGCTATCTGCATGTCTATCTATCTGTCTATCTACCTACCTATCTATCTGTCTGTCTATCTACCTCTCTGTCTTTCTACCTTTCTATCTGTCTATCCAACTGTCTATCTGTCTGTCAATTATCTATCCATCTATCCATCTATCTATCTACCTATCTAACTGTCTATCGATCTGTCTATCTATCTTTCTGTCTGCCTATCTATCTATCTATCTGTCTGTCTTTCGATCTTTCTGTCTAATTATCTATCTATCTGTCTAGCTATCTGGCTATCTTTCTATCCATCATTTCCATCTGTCTGTCTATCTATCTATCTATCTGTCTGTCTTTCTATCGATGAAAGCTGAAAACGAAGCTGTTCTGCGAGACTTTCTCCAAATTTGGAAATTTCAATTTTTCAAAAAAATCTGCGAGACTTTCTCCAATTTTGGAAGGGGAGAGCTGGAAAACAAAGCTTTTCTGCGAGACATCCTTCAAACTTGGCAGTCGAAAGCTTGAACACGAATCTTTTCTGCGAGACTTCCTTCAAGTTTTAGAATATGAAGGAGAACTTCGACTTCATAGTTCCAATGCGATTTGAAATTTTTCACTTCCATGTCTTCAAAACACTGCGCCTGCCCCGAAAAAGTGCCGAGGCATACGAAAGACTGCAACTGCCACGAAAACTGATGTCCAGAAAAGAAAATCGTTAAAACACGAGGCATTTTACCGCCAGTTTTTAACACTTTTCATGCACTTACTTCCAAATCATTAACACACAAGGCGTTTTGACACTTTATCGAAATTCAACTTCCAAAAGTGCTTCGAACATGCCAGTTTTTAACACTTTTGACTTCCAAATCGTTGAAACACGCGGCATTTTGACACTTTTTCGATGTTCAACTTCCAAAAGTGCTCCTAGGCTAACAGCGTTTTGCACTTTTGATTTCCAAATCGTTAAAACACCACACAATTGACAACTTTTTGACCAATCATCTCGCCGGATGGCTCCGCACCCGCCGCTTTAGCGAGCCTACTTGACCCCCCGGAGTCGGAAAAAGACAGTGCCCCGCGCGATTCTCAACATCTCGCGCGCGTGCATTCTTCACACTGCCCTGAGTAAGTCGGAAGTTAGACTTCTAAACTTCCTTCGAATATATGTTATATCCAGAAAAAGAAACACTACATGATGTAAAATGCTGTTTAACTTCCTATAAGATCAAATTGGACTAAATTTAGGAAAAAGACGGTTTAGTCCAAAAGACGACGGATTTAGTGTTTACACCGGGGTGTAAATTTATACCTCGGAGTGAATAAAATTTAGTCCTAGGAGTATTTTTTTTACATGCCCGTTTTTTTTTTGGTAAAATCACATATGTTTTTACACAATTTTGATATCATTTTGTCGGCGTGTCCTGTTGATTGCTGGCCTTCGCAACACAGCTGTCTGTTGCAGCTGAGGATCTAGTTTTTGCAATGATTGGTATTGGACATTAATCTCATACATGTGCTTCATGAAAAACTGTCTTTCTAAAGTGTTTTAAACCATCCAAAGCACATTGATCACACGTGCTGTCTGCATTTATCATCATCACAATCAGTATCTGAATGTCAGTGTGTGAAATACAACCGTCCAAAACCTCACAAGGTATCTGCACCGAAACCCTCCGGAACCTCAACAGGTATCTGCACCGGAACCCTCCAGAACCTGAACCCTCCAGAACCTCACCAGGTATCTGCACCGGAACCCTCCGGAACCTCAACAGGTATCTGCACCGGAACCCTCCGGAACCCTCCGGAACCTTGCCCAGAACCTGGCGTTGAAGCTGCACCGGATCGCACCAGAGCTTATCTGGGCTAAATAAAGACACCATAGCAAAGTTTTGCTGCTGGGGAAAAACACATGCTTCCATACATAAGTCATTGCAGAAATCGTCTAGAACAGTCAAATAAATATCACAGGATGCCAACCAAATTACACCAGCATAGACCCCAAACAGCAACAACGCATGTTTCCACCAAGGTCATGTGCAATTCAAAATTCATGGAACTGTCTGGCACACTCTTGTCTTTCGTTTTACTCCTTCATTACTTCAACCGTACAAATACGAGGCAATAAAAGAGACGCCCCGACGCATCCAGGAATCCACACAGAGTGGAGGTCCTTAATTTTCAGACGAGAGCTGTTGTCTCTTGAGAACAATAGCGCCAGTACAAGCCCATGTGACTTCCGACTAAAGAGACACAGCTGCGGTGAAACAAATCGATGAGAATATGGAGGCTTCTATCTGGCTGACGGTTGCTCAAATCATGATGGAACAGAATAAATTTCCTGAGGAAAGAAAGAAGAGAGAAGAAGGGAAACAAGCACCGGAACCAAAGAGGAGAGAAGAAGGGAGACAAGCACCGGAACCCCAGCCAGAACCAAGAGGAACCAGCAAATCATCATGGAACAGAACCCCTTTCCTGAGGAAAGAAAGAAGAGAGATGAAGGGAGACAAGCACCGGAACCAAAGAAGAGAGAAGAAGGGAGAGAAGCACCGGAACCTCAGCCAAAACCAAGAGGAACCAGCAAATCATGATGAAACAGAACCCTTTTCCTGAGGAAAGAAAGAAAAGAGAAGAAGGGAGACAAGCACCGGAACCCCAGCCAGGAGCAAGAGGAAACAGCAAATCATGATGGAACAGAACCCCTTTCCTGAGGAAAGAAAGAAGAGAGAAGAAGGGAGACAAGCACCAGAACCCCAGCTGGAACCAGGAGGAACCAGCAAATCATGATGGAACAGAACCCCTGTCCTGAGGAAAGAAAGAAGGGAGAAGAAGGGAGACAAGCACCGGCACCAAAGAAGAGAGAAGAAGGGAGACAAGCACCGGAACCCCAGCCGGGAGCAAGAGGAACCAGCAAATCATGATGGAACAGAATCCCTTTCGTGAGGAAAGAAAGAAGAGAGAAGAATGGAGACAAGCACCGGAACCCCAGCCGGAATCAAGAGGAACCAGCAAATCATGATGGAACAGAACCCCTTTCGTGAGGAAAGAAAGAAGAGAGAAGAAGGGAGACAAGCACCGGAACCCCAGCCGGAACCAGGAAGAACCAGCAAATCATGATGGAACAGAACCCCTTTCCTGAGGAAAGAAAGAAGAGAGAAGAAGGGAGACAAGCACCGGAACCCCAGCCGGAACCAGGAAGAACCAGAAAATCATGATGGAACAGAAGCCCAGGAAAGAAGAGAGAAGAAGGGAGACAAGCACCGGAACCAAAGAGGAGAGAAGAAGGGAGACAAGCACCGGAACCCCAGCCAGAACCAAGAGGAACCAGCAAATCATCATGGAACAGAACCCCTTTCGTGAGGAAAGAAAGAAGAGAGAAGAAGGGAGACAAGCACCGAAACCCCAGTGGGAACCTGGAGGAGCCAGCAAATCATGATGGAACAGAACCCCTTTCCTGAGGAAAGAAAGACGGGAGAAGAAGGGAGACAAGCACTGGACTGGAACCAAGGAGGAGAGAAGAAGGGAGACAACCAGCCAGAACCAAGAGGTACCAGCAAATCATCATGGAACAGAACACCTTTCCTGAGGAAAGACAGAAGACAGAAGAAGGGATACAAGCACCGGAACCAAAGAAGAGAGAAAAAAGGGAGACAAGCACCGGAACCCCAGCCGGAACCAGGAGGAACCAGCAAATCATGATGGAACAGAACCCCTTTCCTGAGGAAGGAAAAGAGAAGAAGGGAGACAAGGACCGGAACCCCAGCCGGAACCAGGAAGAACCAGCAAATCATGATGGAACAGAACCTCTTTTCTGAAAAACGAAAGAAGAGAGAAGACGTGAGACAAGCACCGGAACCAAAGAAGAGAGAAGAAGGGAGACAAGCACCGGAACCCCAGCCAGAACCAAGAGGAACCAGCAAATCATCATGGAACAGAACCCCTTTCCTGAGGAAAGAAACAAGGGAGAAGAAGGGAGACAAGCACCGGAACCCCAGCCGGAAACAGGAGGAACCAGCAAATCATGATGGAACAGACCCCTTTCCTGAGAAAGAAAGAAGGGAGAAGAAGGGAGACAAGCACCGGAACCCCAGCCGGAACCAGGAAGAACCAGCACATCATGATGGAACAGACCCCCTTTCCTGAGGAAAGAAAGAAGAGAGATGAAGGGAGACAAGCACCGGAACCAAAGAAGAGAGAAGAAGGGAGAGAAGCACCGGAACCCCAGCCAAAACCAAGAGGAACCAGCAAATCATGATGAAACAGAACACCTTTCCTGAGGAAAGAAAGAAGGGAGAAGAAGGGAGACAAGCACCGGAACCCCAGCCGGGAGCAAGAGGAACCAGCAAATCATCATGGAACAGAACCACTTTCCTGATGAAAGAAAGAAGAGAGAAGAAGGGAGACAAGCACCGGAACC